GAAAGAAAGAAAGAAAGAAAGAAAGAAAGAAAGAAAGAAAGAAAATGTTGAAACACCAAATTCAGATGAGATTGGGAATGGGTGAAAATTGTTGGGGCTGGATCAGAGAAGTAGGAAACTGAGAACAAAAGAAAACAACAAACTGAACACAAAGACAACCCAAAAAACAAAAACATGAAAAAAGTAATTACTTACATTTACAACTGGTTAGATATTGAATTCACCTCATTTCAAGATGGTCACTACAGTTCATTAGTCAACACAATAATGACAATTATTCAGCCAATTATACAGATTTTGAGCAAAATGTTTGCTGTGGTAGTAGCTGTGTGTCATCCCAGAACATGCTCTAAGCTCTTGAGACATTGCTTGAAATTGTGCCTAATGGTATAAAGATTTAACTATAACACCATCATTTCTCAGCAAAACATGATCTTAGTCTAAAACTATGGCATGAGGTGAGGCTTTAATGATTTCTTTTTTAAAGATTAGTCTATCTATCCGGTGACACAAATGACTTTACCACAAAACTGGGATGCATTTGTGCATGTTAAGCTAAAGAATAAACACGGCAGACATACATTTTGTGTCTTATTCTTCTGAATTCCTATTTTGAACACTTTAATTATTTTTCTTTTCTGTTTGGGTTTTGAAAACAGTATCTCAGCCTGCCGTCTCGAGAAGAAGCGGATTTATTTCGCATTATTTTTCATTACTTTCCACCACCTGTTTGTGATGCATTTAGAGCAGTGCAAAATGATTTTGGAGGATTTTAGCATCCAATTCCACTCCCAAACACTATTTGGGTTCTTAATAAGGCGCACCCTTCGCACATACACATCAATGGAGTCTAATGGGGGGCATATGATTGCGAGAGTGACTCTGAGAGAGGCCTGGTTCAATTCAGTTCTGATTAAAGGCATCAGCAGTCACCATGTGTTTTATGGACTGGCTGTCTCCATCAGAACCACTTACTGTATTCATGTTTTTGCTTTTCTTTTTCTTTTTTTAACAGCATTTCATTTTAAATTTCTAACATTTTGGGTATAATGTAATCATCTCCCTTCAAAGACCCCATATAACTCTATACAATGGAAAATACAGCATGTACTCATACTCTAGCCAGTACTGTGAAGGTGAGATTGCCACTTAGAGCTGAACTCTGAAACATTGTTCCTGCAATATTTTATCTCTACTATTTTTTATCTTCTCTCTTAAACAACTTGAATATTCTGCTCATAGCATAAAAAAACTACAGCCCATCTGTTTTAACAGCTGGATTTTTAAGGAGGATAGGGTTACTTCAATCAGTATCCATTTCTTGTGTTATAACTACTTTTAAAAACATGAGTGGGTTTCTAGTGTCTTATTTGTAAATAATTAAAAAAATTAAAAGTGAAAAAAAACAACATTTTTGCAGTTGTTTCCAACTTCCCTGGCATATGGGAAGCACTATTTGCTTGGATGAGTTTCATACATCACAACAGCTGCTCCATATTTACGGGTTAGATGACGGAGAACCATGCATTCATGAGTTCCAATCAGTCACAACTTATACTGTAAATGCAATTCATAATATATTTGAAATGTTTCATTTTTGTCTAGAGTGTTGTCACTTTGTCACAATGAAGCCACACACAAGAAGAGTGAGAGTTTCACTCATCTTGAAGTCGATCTAATTAAGTGAGGTGACTGCTGCGCCATTCTTAACTAGTAAAAAACTGCTTAAAGCATGTAGCATGCGAGTGTACTTAAAAAGCTTTTTAATACTCTAAAGCKGTTGTCCAATTACAGTTAAACAGAATGAGAGCTGTGCACAATTACAGCTCATAGGCAAATTGCAGGTAGCTGTTTATTGGACCTACAATAAAATTGTAGGGGCATTTCAAACACACTACATATGGAGAAATCAGAGGCACCTGTTAAATGTGGGCAAAAACAACAACAACAACAAAGCAGCAGGGATGCCTGTTATGTGTGTTTTTAACCATTTTTCTTTCATTTTCTTATTCRTTACTATTGAACTCAGTAGCAGCAAGTAGTTATCCACTCAGCCAGAAACATTGGTTTTCTTTGTAATGGTTTCCTTCTGATGTATTCCTCTTCATGTCAAGTTTCTGTTGCACTTCCAGAGGAACTAGTAAACAACACAGAAAGGGAAAAATATATATATCTGCTCAACCTCAGCACTTTTGACCCTGGTGACCCAGGACCACAATCTACAAACCAGAGTTTTTGCAGCACCGCTCTGATGAATATAAATGAATGTCAGTGTCACGCAGGCACACTGCAGCTCTGTTCCACTCAACTCTGGTCACTAAAATCCTAAAAACTATGCAAACCTATTGTTGAAAGCCATTCAACTTATAACTCGTTAGTCACCTTGTGTTAAAGTGTCTTTCCAGTGCAGTAAACAAATGCACACGGTTCATCATCAAGTGAAAACACAAATCTTAGTAGGTCAAGACAAATATGTTTTGAAGTTTATAGGGACAAGCTTTCAGCTTGTCTTTATGCAGGGTCATTATAAAACATCTCAGCATCTGACAAAAATAAAACACCCACCTGTGAGGACTGGAGGCAGAAAAAACCCAGGGCGCAGGCAAAAATCCAAAGTAAAAAAAAGAGGGTATTTTAATTAACAAAGGGAGGGCTGACATAGCAGCAAACCTTAGACTTCTGCGAACAACACAAGGAACACGGAGGACAACCTCACTGACTGTGTAGACAGTACAATGGACGGACAAACACTGAAGACAGGACACAGAATATAAAGGCAAACTAATTAGGACAACAAGAAACACCTGGAGCAGACACAAGAGGAAACAAGTGAGTGAGGGCAGGCTGCAGGGCAGATAAACACGGGGAAACACTGAAACACTGAAAACTAAGGAAAATAAACACATATTATGACAGGAAACACTGAAAAATAAACACATATTATGACAGGACCCTCCCCTCAATAATGGCTCCTGACGTCAATAAAAGGAGAGGGACAAGACTCGGGGAAACAAGGACAAAACACAGGGGAGCATGAGGACAAAACACATAGTTCAGGGGGACGGTCAGATGACCATCCACAGCGAGGTCCAACAGACGTAGAGCCATGGGAGGAGGCGAGAGCAGACGAGGAGCCAAGGGAGGAGGCAGGAGCAGATGGGCAGCCACGGGAGGAGGCGGGAGCAGACGAGGAGCCAAGGGAGGAGGCGGGAGCAGACGAGGAGCCAAGGGAAGAGGCGGGAGCAGATGAGGAGCCAAGGGAGGAGGCGGGAGCAGACGAGGAGCCAAGGGAGGAGGCGGGAGCAGATGAGGAGCCGGCGGAGGTTGACAGAGCCAGAGTGTCAACAACGGCGAACGCAGGCGACAGAGGCGATGAGGAGGTGATGGGCGACGACCCACGAACCTCAAGGACCTCAGACTCGGGACTCGCCAACTCAGGAGGCACTGGGACCACCGACTCTGGGACCACCGAGACCACCGACTCTGGGACCACCAACTCTGGAACAGGAACTGGGACTGGAACCGCCAACTCAGGAAACACAGGAACAGATTCAGGCAGTTGAGCAGACCCAGAGGACTCAGAAACAACAGAGATGGGCAGGTGGGCATCAAAGCTCTCAGCCAGGACCCTTGCCAGAGATCCCCAGCAGAAGGTGGAAGATTGGACCACTGAAGACCCCCCAGCGGAAGGTGGAAGGCCGTCCAGAAAAAGAAAACTTGCCTGTAAACTGGGTGCTTGGTCCGTTCATTCTGTGAGGACTGGAGGCAGAAAAAACCCAGGGCGCAGGCAAAAATCCAAAGTAAAAAAAAGGTATTTTAATTAACAAAGGATGGCTGACGTAGCGGCAAAACTTCCAGACTTCTGAGAACAGCACAAGGAACATGGAGGACAACCTCACTGACTGTGTAGACAGTACAATGAACAGACAAACACTGAAGACAGGATACAGAATGTAAAGACAAACCAATCAGGACAGCAAGAAACATCTGGAGCAGACACAA